CCCTTAACTCATCACTAATTTATCTTTCCACTGGCTTGTGGTAAAGATTAAAATTCATTTCTTCCAGTTTACTAAAGTTATCTCAGTCATCATATATTAAATAATCTTCCCCATTAATTTATGCTTCCTTCTTTATCATATACTAATTTTTATATAAATGGTGGACCCGTTTCTCACTCATTTGTTCTATCTTATCATGTATCTATCCGTATTTGTACTAATGCCACATCATTTAAAATGATTATTTAAAATTTATCGGATAGAGCTTATCCTACTTCACTACATTTTAAGCTTATTTTCTAAATTTTTCTCTTAGATTCTCACCCGTTTGAATAGAAATGAAGCCCTCTGTGGATTCAGAATCTCTTTGAGGGGAGGAACAAAGTTTTTTTGATGTAGTTCAGTGTCTCCAACACCGTCCCTAGCACATAGAGATAATCAATAAATATTTTTGAATGAATGAATTCATTTTGGAGCACTTTTACTAAAGCGCATGGTTTTAATGCTTTGGCTGTAGTTTTACTTGAAGAAACAAATCAAATCCAGTGTTGTTTGGTCCATGTTTGCTGACTGAACACGTGTGACACTGTGTGATGACATTCCCAATCTAGTTGAATAAGAAACTTAGAATAAGTCAGCAACAAACTGAGAAAGGAACCCTGACAGGCGCAAGAAGGATCTGTAAAAAAAACAGGGAGCGCTTTTGGTTTGGGAGTCTGGGAAAGGACTGAGATGTCTGCTCCCGCCTTACTGAGCACAGCACGGGCGAGACCCAATTGGCAAGGGTTTCTATTGAAAACCACGTGAATTGCAGTTTTGTCCAAGTCATATTTAACTTTTAATTGGATACTGGGCACAAAAACGTTTAAAATGATACCTTTTAAAAATTTCATCTGTTAATGTTTTAAGATTGAAAGGCTTTTATGGTGCTCACACATACTCTCTTCTGGGTAATGTTTATATCCTGAGTGAGGCTGTGGTTCTCAGGTTGATTAGATGAGCTTGTTGTTGTTGCTGCTGTCATTGTTAGCTGCCATCAAGTCGGCCCCTAGCTCATGATGATCCCATGGGCAACAGAACGAAACGCTGCTCAGTCCTGAACCATCCCCGTGATTGGTTGTGGATCAGACCATTGTGATCCATAGGGTTTTCATTGGCTGATTTTTAGAACTAGAGCACCAGGCCTTTCTTCCTACCTAGTCCATCTTAGTCTGGAAGTGGAGCTTAGGAAGCAGAAAGATGGGGCAAAATACTTCCAGACACTTACCATAGTATCTTCCTGAGCTGTGTTCTGCTGTTGGCTGGCAGAAGAAGAGCTTTGGCATTCTTAGGTCAGGCCTGAGCCTTTGACATGATTCATTTTTCAAGTGAGTCTGGATATGTGAGCCTGGAACCCAAAGTGCATTCATTCACTGAGCACACTTCTTTCTGCCTGCTTTCTGCCAAGCCATCCAGTTCATGACATGCTGTTTTTACTTAAGGGGCCCCCAAAGGAGGGAAGGGACTTTTCCTATCCCTGCTGAACCTCACATATCTGAAGCAACAGGTAATGTGATTCTCCTTTGACAGTTCTAAGATGGTTAAATATTAAGCCCAGTGGCTGTGGCTTTACTTACAGGACTTGGATGAGCAATATGAACCAGAACAGAAACGCTCACTTTTTTCTGCTTAGACCAGAGTGCTTGATACACCAACGTCTGTATCTGACCAGGCTTCCCAAAGCAGACCAATGTGTCAGAGTTGTGAAGCTACTCAGAGGATAGCCTATAATTAGAAATAAATAATTTCTCAGCAAGACCCATAGGATTGTTGGTAGCCTTTTTTGCTCTTCAGCAACCATGTTTAGCTCTCTCTTGCTTTGCAATGTCAGCATTCTATACCACAGAATGTTCTCTGTTCAAGTAATGTATTTACTAATTCAAATCAGTTGCCTTGTTAGTAATTAGAACCCAGGGCTTGAGACCGTTGCCCTAGAATTTTTAAAACACGTTTTATTATGAAAAGGTTTAAACAAAACAAAAAAAGTAGAGAGATAGTATAATGAACCATCTGAATGTACACACAGTTATTTACATTTGGCCACATTTCTTCATCTACTTTCTTGTTGTTGAGAGTTTTTTGTTGTTTTGTGGAACACATTTTTATTCATACAATTTTATGTGAACTTTTTTTTTTTTTTTTTCTTTTTTTCATTTTGCCTTGCAGTTAAGCCATCAAGATGCCATTGTTCAGGGCCCTAGAACTTAACTTTCTGAGTCTCTCTTTTTTTTTTTTAATTTTTTATTGTGCATTAGGTGAAATTTTATAGAGCTAATTAGTTTCCCATTTGATACTTTGAACATAAAGTGTTCCATAGCATTGGTTTCACTCTCCGCAATGTGTCAGCACTCTCCCCATTTCCATCCTAGGTTCCCCATTTCCTTTCATCCTGATTGTCTGTCACTTCCTGCCCTCTCATCTTTGCTTTTGGGCAAATGTCACCCTTTTGATGTTGCATAATTGGTTCTTCTAAGGAGCATGTTCCTTTCGGGTGTTATTGTTTATTTTATGGGACTGTCTATGGTTTGGTTGAAAGGTGGTATCTGGGAATGGCTTCAGTTCCAGTTCACAAGGGTATCTTTCGGCCATAGTGTTGGGGGTTCCTCCAGTCTCTGTCAGACCAGTAAGTCTGGGGTTTTTTGTGAATTTGATTTTTTCTTATATAATTTTTTTCTCTTGCTCTGTCCAAGGACCCTCTGTTGTGATCCCAGTAGACCAGTCAGTAGTGGTAGCCGGGCACCATTTAGTTCTTCTAGTCTTGGGGTAATGTGGACTGTGGTTCATAAGGCCTGATTTGGACTAATTGCTTCCTTGAGTTTTTGATTTTCTTCACTCTCCTTTGCTCCAGACAGTAAGAGACCAATAGATGTATCTTATCTTAGATAGTCGCTCACAAGCTTTTAAGACCCCAGATGCTACTCATCAAAGTAGGAAGCAGAACTTTATGAACTATGTTGTGGCAGTTGACGTAGATGACTCCCAAGTCAATGGTTCTTCACCTTCAAGCCTAGGAACTTCATCCCACGGGGTGTTTGGTTATGTCTAAAAAGTTGCTCTGACTGTAGCCCTCATGTGCTCCATTGTCTATATTAATATATAAGCCGCATCTACAGTAATGTATGTAGAAATATCCACCACCAAACCTATATCTGCAGGTGAGTGTGTTCCCTTACACCCTCCCACACCTCTTGGTATAACTATCTGTCTGTATCCATTTGTAAATTAGTGTTTGTTAGTACTATTGTTGCAGGATTGTCTGTGCTGTAATAATTAACGGTTGTTGCCCTTTGTTCTTGCATTCCTCTCAGTGTCCTCCCATGCCTTAGTCCTGTTTTGCTGACTTCCCCATATAGTGTATTGCCTTTGCCTTCACCAATATTAACATGTGTCTTTGGAGAAGTCCTTTGATAAGCCTAAATGTTTAATTTTTAGGAGGTCCCGTTTATCTAATTCATCTTCTGTTCTGTTTCTAAGTCATGTTCTGTTTGGTATTCTATTTATGCTATATATTAGGGCCATTAGCATTGCCCCTATTTTTCTTCCGTGATCTTTATCATTTTCAGTTTTTTATTTAGGTCTTTAATCCATTCAGAGTTAGTTTTTGTGTATGATGTGAAGTATGGGTCCTTTTTCATTTTTTCACAAGTGGACATCCAGTTTTGCCAGCACCATTTGTTAAAGAGACTGTCTTTTCCCCCATTTAATGGACTTCGGCTGTTTGTCAAAGATCAGCTGTCCATAGGTGGATGGATTTACTTTGGGTTCTCAGTTCTGTTCCATTGGTCTGTGTGTCTGTCGTAGACAGTACCAGACTGTTTTGACTACCACAGCTATATAGTAGGTTCTCAGATCAGGTAGTGTGAGGCCTCCTACTTTGTCCTTCTTCTTCTTCAGTAATTCTTTAATTATCCGGGGCCTCTTTCCTTTCCATATAAAGTTGATGATTAGTTTTTCCATCTCTTTAAAGAATGCTGTTGAAATTTGGATTGGGATTGCATTGTATCTATAGATCCCTTTCAGTAATATTGATATTTTCACAGTGTTGAGCCTCCCTATCCATGAGCATGGTATGTTTTTCCATTTATGTAGATCTATTCTGGTTTCTTTCGGTAATATTTTGTAGTTTTCTTTGTATAGGTCTTTTACATCCATGGTTGGATTTATTCCTAAATGTTTTATCTTTTTTCGAGGCTATTGTAAATGGTATTGTTTTCCTGATTTCCTTTTTGAAGTTGTCTGTCTTGGAAGAGGTACAGCCAGAACGCTACTTTGAAGCAAGGATGGCGAGACTATGTCTCACATACTTTGGACATGTTATCGGGAGGGATCAGTCCCTGGAGAAGGATATCATGCTTGATAAAGTAGAAGGTCAGCCAAAAAGAGGAAGACCCTCAATGAGATGGATTGTCACAGTGGCTGCAACAAGGGGCTCAAGCATAACAAGGATTGTGAGGATGGCGCAGGACCAGGCATTGTTTCATTTTCTTGTACATAGGGTTGCTATGAGTCAGCACCAACGCGAGGACACCTAACAACAACTAACTTTGAAAATCTAGAACAGTTCATTCCCCGTAACTTTTTGTTTTGTTTTGCATGACATTGACTTGTGAAAAGAGCTCTTGGATCTTTTCAATGGAAATTATGATGTTTTTCATGAATTCCTTCTTTGGTATAGCTAAATTTTTTGTATACTTTTGTATTAGTTACTGTTAACCTGAGGATTTTGTTTTTGTTTGTTTGTTTTTTATATTTCATCATCAAACTTACTCTGGTAGCTTATAAATTGATTCACATCTGATCTTTACCAGTAGTGTTTAGTTATATTCATTTCTTTTCATTCTAAAATAAATTTCTCCTTTTGAGTTCGTACAGAATTTTTTTAATTGGTGACAAAGGTAGGTTCTGAATATTAGTCATGTATCCTGTTAATGAAAACCTTAATAACTGTTTTTCATGTTCAGTTTGCAGAGAAGTTCCAAGAAGTGAAAGAAGCCGCAAGACTAGCCAGAGACAGATCTCAGGAGAAAATCGAGACCTCAAGTAATCATTCCCAAGTAAGTAATTTGTCCTGCTTTTGTCAGGAAGGAGGGAATTCTAGCAGTAGGGCATTTGAAGGCTTTTTCAACTATTAGCCTGCTAACAGTGAGGTGGATATGACATGTTTTTATATGACTTTTGGGTTTTTCAGGATGTGCTGCTGTATTTTTGACAGAAACCAGTTCATGGGATTAAAGTTAACGTATGTCCCTGGCGCCTGAGAGACATTCTCTGGTCGCTATGTTTAAATACCTGCAGGAAGGCATTATGTCCTTGCTGGGCTGGGAGGTGGGGTCTATGTGAAAGATGCCCCATCTGGAGACTCAGATACCTTGTGCCCATGAGAGAGATAACTGTTGGGTCCCAGAGAGCCCTCATGTCTCTCTTCCTATTTTAACAAAAGTCAGGTGAGAGATGGTATCCCAATAGCTCTGTCTTAAGGACAGGCTTTGCCAGGAATTGAGTAGTCTGTCTACTTACAAGTGTGATGATTGACTGAAAAAGACCTATTTAAACCTAAAATAAAAACAGCTGCATTTTCGATGTCTAGATTGGTTATGTTGCATGAAGGGAAGCCTTGACCTAGTGACAGGGTTATTTGTAAAGAGACGGGAAGAGAGAACAGTAGGAGCAAAGATTTGGTTTCAGGAATAAGCATGATGAATTAGCAAGAGAGCAAGGCACCTGCCTGGCTGGGGCTGTAGGAATCATGGAGATGTGCTTAGAGATATTGTCAATGATCTGGAATTCTTTATCACTTGGTAGTTTATTAATTATGCATTTAATTATTTATTATTGAGTAGTTAGGGGACATTGGAGATGTTTTATGACTATTGATCTGGAAGCAATGTAAGGGTTGCCATGTGGGTGGTGCAGAAATCAGGAAGTGGCTAAAGGCAGGAAGACTGGCGAGGAGGCTGTGAGGTGGAGAATGGCAGGGCCAGGACAGCCACAGGGGCAACAAGGAAGGGATGAGTGTCAGGGACAGCGCAGAGAAAGATAACCAGGAGGCCCGGGCATCTTGAGCAGTCAAGATTGACATTCTAGACTTGACCATCAGCCTTACAGAAACATAGCTGAAGTCTTGGGTGCAGCAAGAAACATTGGGGATAGAGGGGGAAAGCTTGAGCCTTAGGAAATGGACACAGTTAAGGGAAGGGAACCAGCGAAAAGGCAGAGAAGGAGAAATTCCCGAGGAAGAAACATACTTAGGTGGACAGTGCTGCAGAGAAGAGGGGAGAGAATGCTGAGAGGGCCCTGGGTTTGTCAACCACTGTGGCTAACCCTTAGGGCAGGAGTTTTGGTGGCTCAGAATTTATGTCTGTCTTGAGTTAAAACCCCAGCACCTTGTGCCGGGCTCATCATATAAAAGGTGCCCCATGTGGATTTACTGAAATTAATGTATGTTAGATTTCAGGTGGACAGGAACTTTCTTGAACCTTTCCTAAATAATCTTTAATATAATCTAAATGATACTATTAGATTAGTATGCAAATTACCCTATTGGGGAGCCCTGGTGGCGCAGTGGTTAAGAGTTCACAGCTGCTAACCAAAAGGTTGGCAGTGAGAGTCCACCAGCCACTCCTTTGAAACCCTATGGGGCAGTTCTCCTCTGCCCTATAGGGTTGCTATGAGTCAGAATCGCCTCCTTGGCAGTGGGTTTGGTTTTTTGGTTTGGAATTACCCTACTGAATTACCGCCGAGAACCTATAAATTGGACATGTGGAATGGTCCAGATTCTGACGAGTTTCTAATGTACTTTTTTTTCTGAATACCACATATAATGGTGATGTCTTTAAACTTTAATACCTGAATTTCTTTATATAAGGTTTGTTTCGATATGTTTTCCCCCAGAAGTATTTTAAACCTTAAAAAATCAAGTATACGTATAAGATATTATTTTATGTACATATTATTAATTATGTATAAATGCTTGCCTCTAAGCTTTTGTTTTTATTTACCTTGTCTGGTTTACCCAGATATAAAAAGCATTGTATATTTTTATTTTTATTAGGAATCACATGATTTCTTGGTTTCCTGAATCTCTTAGGGAATGAACACTATGGCCAAATTTTCAAAATAGTTGAATATTTAAACAACGTAACAACAAAAACATTTTATGTGGGATTTTTTCCTACTATAAAAGTAATACATGTTTATTGTAGAAATAAAAAAATATGTCACACATAAAGCAGGAAATAAGAATCACCTGCTGTGTCACCACTTGGAGATATTAATATTTTGGTGTGTATCTTCTAATGGGATTTTCCAGTATATTTTTTCCAATGTATTTTTATACTCCTCTTTTTAACCTTTTTGTTTTTTAGTATGTTATGATCATTTCCTCATGTTTTCAGATAGTCCCTTTCAAGAATGTTTTAGTGGCTCAATAGTATTCCAGGGTTTGTTTGATCATCATTTATTCCACTAATTTCCTGTAGTTTGAGACATCTATATTCTTTTTAATTTACCATTAATATAGACAACACGGAGATGAACTTTCTTTCATATCTTTGTGCATTTTATGATTTCCACAGGCTAAATTCCTAGAGGTGGAAGTACTGAGTTAAAGGCAGGGACATTTTTAAAGGTTTTGATGTATAATGCAAACTTAACCTGCAGAAGTGTACGACAGCTATTACTCCCACCAGCAAGGAAGGAGAGTGGTTTTTCCTCCCATACCCTCACCAACAAATTTTTGCTTATGTGACAGGTGAAAAATGTATCTTATTGGGTTTATTTCATTTTCTATTTCTTTAGTAGTGAGATTAAATATTTTTATGTATTTATTGATTCTATGCATTTCTTCTTTTATAATTGTGAATCCTTTCCCTTTGTTAAAAATTCAGGTGTTCATCTTTTTTTTTACTGTTTTCCAAGAGCTTTATTTTTGAACATATGCAAAGCAAGGCAAAATAGTATTAAAACCCCCATGTACCCAGAGATCTGCTTTAACAGTCAGAAACTCACAGCCAATTGTTTCATCTCTGTTCCTTTCCATCTCCCTCCCCCCTTGCCCCCTATACTCTAAAGCAAATCCCAAGCATCCTATCATTTCATCCATAAAGATTTTGGAGTGTAGCTCTAGAAGGTAAGGATTCTAAGAGCCTTTAATGTAGGAAAGGCATTAACATTTTATGTGTAATCTCTGCTGCATATATTTTCCCTGGGTTTTGGTTAGCATTTTAAATTTCTTTATGGCATATTTTGCAATGCAGAAATTTAAAATTAGTCAGATTAGTGCATTGTTCCCCTTCATGGTTCCTTCCTTTGCCTTTATGCTTATTGGAGGCTAAATAAGATGTTAGCCAAGATCAGATGAGATTTCACCTCCACGTGGTGCTACTTATTACAGAGAACATTTCAGAATAGTCCTAACAATGTTAGATAGGAACAGAGACAGCAAACATCCGTATTTGATTTTTGCTTTTTAATGAGTGTGTTGATCTAATTCTGTGTAGCTCCAGGATTTTTAAGTTCTTGTCTCAGCTTCTAATACTTTTTCTTTATCCTTATTCATTGTTTCTTGTTACTTGTTATTTATGACAGTCCCTCCTCCCCTTTTAATCTCCGGCTTTATTCTCTGGTATTTCGGGAGACCTATCACCTAGGCTTGTTAGGTTTGTTGGTGAAGTTTGAGTAAAAAGGCTCTGAGTGACCTCTTGAGGGGCTCTCTTGTCAGGAAAATGAACTTCACAGGGACTCTTCAGGGCCCTTCTCTTTGTTCTTGATGGTCTCTGTTAGTCTTTTTTACTTGTTAGCCTCCGCTGTGTTCTGGACAGATGAGTTGGTCCATCCACACTGATAAACACACAGTTTCTCATTATGCCTAATTTGCTGCCGATGTGAGGATAAGCAATAACGTGTGAAGATAATTCACTTTGACCAGGAATCTGGGTGTGAAACCCCATCTTCTACTCAGGCATCCAGCGTCAATGGGACAGATGATGAAAAGGCCTCCCATACGGGTCCTGCTGACACACACCTGAAATCTGAGAATGATAAGCTGAAGATCGCTTTGACACAGAGGTAAGGGTTGTTTATTTTCTCCAAGTCCAGCACTTCCCTAAGCCTTTCCTGCTGGGCAGCGTTTCAGGAAGTTGGGAGGGGAGACTTGGCCTTGCCTGGAGCATCTAATCTTGTGGTTTGGTCAAAGGAAGACCAGCAGGCCTTCATGGCTGCTCTTTGTCTGACTGACGACACCGGCGTCAATTCTTGTATGTGTGTGTGAGTGAGAGTGTATGTGAGGTGTGAGAGCATGAGTGTGTATGTATGAGTGTGTGTGTGTGTGAGTGAATTTTTGAGTGTGACTGAGAATGAGTGTGTGTGCTGTGCATGCATGTAACGGTGAGGATGTATATGTAAATGTCTATATGTGTGTGTGGCATCACCATACTGCTTTTGTATCTCAAGAATGTGGCCCATTTCCCATAGGCTGTGTTGGACTTTGTGGTGTGGGCTGGCCCTGTGACGATCATGCTCAGAGCTGCTGTTTTCAGATTCATTCTGCTCGCCTGGCCTGGGGCTCAGCCGGCTTCTGCCAGCCTCTATGTGGCCCAGAAGCTGCTCTCCTCAGAGTTGCCCCATTTAAGAGCTATATCGTCTTAGAGGCCATCATGTCTAAATTCCTCCATTTTACAGATGTGGAAACTGAGTCCCAGGTGGTAAAGTGACTCCTTGCCCAAGGTCACATGACTAGTAAATCTTTCCACTACCCCATAATGCCTCCCTTTCACCCAAGGGTGCAGTTACGACCTCTTCAGGAACCTTCTCAGAGGCAGCTGGTCGCACATTCCGCAGCTGGAGCCACCAAAAGGTTGTACCCACCTCTCCATCTCAGCTGGCCTGGCTGTGCTTGGAGCATAATGGCTGTGGTCTGACCTAGGAATTCCAGAAAGCACATGGGATGCTTAGACCAGGCTACTTGTCTTTGGACTGTGGGTCTTTGTCAGATACTTCAAAGAACAGAACCATGACCAGTCTCTTTTCTTACTCATTAGGAGATTGTGAGGACTATTTTTGGTTGTTGAAGTCACAATGGGCTGCCTGGAAGACAATGTTTCATCCCTAAAAATAAGTGTTTTTAAATCCCAGTTTAATGAATGAGTGAATTACAGGAATGGGCATGAAGCCATTTCCCTAAATCAGCTTAAATTTTCTGTCATCAACTCTAAAATTAATCAGATAATAACATTTTGCTATTTTTTCAGTCTGTGAGGTTTGAAATTGAAAGTATTTATTTTCCAGTCACATAAGGTCCTTGAGGCTGTTGGATGAAAAATAATGCAGATTATTCAGAGGCCGTTGTATTTATTTTAAAAAAAAAAAAAAAAAAACCTTTAGTAATTGACTCTCCTCAACCAGGCAGTATTGATAAGGACCAGGAAGCTTTCTGATAGACTTGTCTTCCCTGTCACCTCAGGTCACATTCAGCACCACAGATGTGTAGGCTCCCAAGCAGGAAAAAATGAGGGCCAAAAGGGAGCAGTGACTGAGGGGAATGTGATTCCAGTGTGTTTTTTTAAACTTCTTTCTCACTAAGCACATAAAATCAAAGATAAAACATACAGTTTTTGTGGTAACAGAAGAGGTATCCCTCAGACCGTGGGGCTTCTCACACCCCTGAGGTGACATGGGGCCAGCCAGGGAAGCCCTCACATATTGTCTAGTTAGAACCCCAGTTCTGCCCATACCAGATCCCCAGTCACTTTGTCCTCTGTCCTCAGGACCTCGGCTCTCAAATCTGGATTCAATGAAAGGCTCTGAGGAGGCACAAGTTACAATGGGACCATCATCACCCTGGAGCAAGGCTTTTTGTTTGTTTCAACCTGGAGTCCTTGGGCTCCAAAGAGAAGTGTTGGGAACTTGTTGAAAGGGCCCATAGCTTTCATGAGATTCTCAAAGGGCTCCACGCCCACCCCACACCTGCCAGCAATTCAGAACCACTGTCCTTGAAGGGGAGTCCCTGGGTGCAAACAGTTATCACGCTTGGCTGCTAAATGAAAGATTGGAGGTTGAAATCCACCCAGAGGCACCTCAGAAGAAAGGCCTGGTAATCTACTTCTAAAAAGTCAGCCATTATAAACCCTATGGAGCACAGTTGTACTCTGACACACTTAAGGTAGCCTTGAGTCAACTCAGCAGCATCTGGTTTCCTGGTCCCTCAGGGAAGGAATCTTGGTGTGAGAGGAGGGCTCTGCGGGCTGGGGTCAGTAGGAAAGTAGGAAGGTGGGTCCTCATCCTTCTGTGTAGCCTTCATTCTTAGTTTTGCATCTTTATTCTTTAAGAATTATATTCTTTTCTAAAGCGATTCTCTGAGGAAAATAGCCCCACGAGGTGACACATTGATGCTACAAAGAGGTACCAGTGCTCCTTGGCTCTTGTTCACATAGCCAGGCCTGATGTAGGCTCCAGAGGTGGGCTGTGGGGGCAGCAAGGCCCTCCCAGGCAGGTGGAGGTGGAGTAGAACAACACCCACCATCTTGGTCACCGCCTTGTCCCCCTCCCACAGCGCAGCCAATGTGAAGAAATGGGAGATTGAGCTGCAGACCTTGCGGGAGAGCAACGCCCGGCTGACCACAGCACTGCAGGAGTCAGCGGCCAGCGTGGAGCAGTGGAAGAAGCAGTTCTCCATCTGCCGTGATGAGAACGACCGGCTCCGCAACAAGGTGGGCCGCCAGCCCGAGGGCCATGCTGGGTGTGCGGGACCACATGGGAGCAGGAGGGACAGGCCACTGAGGCTGGCTTGAGCGGGCAGTGGCATGGCCTGAGGGCCATGCTGGGAGTGCTGGGCCATGTGGGAGCAAGAGGGACAGGCCACTGAGGCTGGCTCGAATGGGAGGTGGGACCACCCACCCTCCCTTTGCTCTCTCCTCCCTCCCACTCACTCCTCTTCCTCATGGGCAGGAGAAGACTTACTACCTCTCCTCTTTGAACTTCCTGCCGCCTCCCTCCCTTTCTTTCTTTTTCTTTTTTTAATTTGAATGCATGTGCTCCATATCTTTAATGCTTATGTACACTTGAATTTGAGACCTCTGAGTTAGTTTAAATGTTAGAACAAGAGGGGAGTTTGGGGGCAGATATCTGGACTTTTAAACAATTCTGATAAATCCAAGGAGCAAACTTCAGTCCTATGTTACAACTATGCAGCAGCCTTTAACACAATTTATGTCATCCTCCTTAAAACTGAAACACTTTGTCCATTAGTTTTTGAGAAATCCTCGTGCTTCTGTTTCTCTTTTGCAGGATTCTTCATGATCCCTAATGTCACTGTACCCAGTCCTCCCCCTCTTTACTTGCCCCCACTCCCCAGGTGATCTCATCTTTCCCTCCATCGTCTTTTATATGGTGCTGCTATGCTGATGTCCCTGTCTTTCTCAGAAGGAATTTCACCCTGTGAATACCTGGCTTATTATTGTTGTGGAACCAAGTTTTCTAATTCCTACTGCTAAGGAGAAGATGAATAAATTGGGGATTTCATTTTTAGTACCTCACAGAAAGTGTTCTCTGAGACTCGTTGAAGATTGGTCTTTTATTCTGTGGGGCCCTCTGTTGGCATTTCTGTGGTTCATGGTCTTCAGTGGAGGGTCCATGGGTGAGTGAGAAAATAGAGTCAGGGAAAGGAGGAGAGTTTTCTTAGAAGCCCTGCTTTCGTGAAAATCACTATTTGTAAAATTGCAAACTGGAAAGCAAAAAGGAACACGGCCCTTGGAGTATGAGGGGGTCAGGTGCTGACAGCCATGGTTGGCAGATCAGATGCCCTCTGCTCTCCTGCCTTAGCCTCCTAGCATTTTGGTTTCTTAAGAATTCATCCATCCTTGCCTATAGGGTCACTATGAGTCAAAATTGACTCAGCAGCAATGGGTTTGGTTTTTGCCTATAATTAATCGTCCACACTCTTCATAGTTGGGCTGAGTTGCTGCGGTAGTTCTGGGTGGCCAGAGATTCCCCCATTGAGGACTGAGGTTTCTGTGCTTACCACCTTTTGGTGGTCAGACTTAATTTCACAGGCAGTTTACACTCAGGGCTTTGGAGCTGGCTTTGTAAGTGCAGGATTTGGGGGAGGACACTCTCGCTTGGCCCTCGTTGCTAACCTGCCCTGCCTGGCGTGGAGTGGAGCCACTGGGTCCCCGCGCTCCATTTCACCGTCTTACTTTGATGCTGATGGCATGTAACACTGCCTCCTGTCATTTTTGCAGACCAACTTGACTCTCCATGTAAATGTCCAAAGTGCTGACAGTGAGGGGCAGCGGGCCAGTCGCTGACTTGGCAGGTTACTTCCCAAGGCCTAGCAGATCTGCCTGCTGGCAGGATTGATTGCCCTTTATTTTACTTTTTCAAGCAGAGAGCTTAATGTCTTGCTTTGTGTCTGAGTATAAGTTCCGAAGGGCGGGGGGAGGGTGGGTAGAGATTGTGCGTCATAGAACTTGCTCCTGTGGAGGAGTGTCAGCTTCCCTAAAGGGAAGGAACACGACCTGGATTTCCAGGACTAGGGGCTGAAGATGGTGGCTCTCCAGCTGCCCCTGTGACTAGGGGTTCAGACCCTGAGGGTGGTAGACCCCTGAGAGGTGTCCTGACAGTGACCACTCAGTGCCCTTAATAGTGATAACTGCTGTTGCCAAGGACGCCACAGGCCTCCTCCATCAGTATGGTGCTTTCGTGTAACCCCTACCATCCAGCCCACTCTGCGCACACACTTCAGCCCCTGGAAATGCTCAGTGCCACTTGGCAATTCCAGAGGTGTGGGTCTTTGCATGCTCATCCCATGTGGGGAAGCCTTTCGTTATGAGTCGGAATTGACTCAATGGCAGTAGGTTTCAGTTTTTGGGTTTGGGGAAGGAGAGAGACGCAGCTTGGATTCACCATTCATCCTGCATTCATCATTCGTCCTCTCTAAGGAAGAGGCCCACAGGCCAGGCCCCTTTGCATGCATCAGTAGGGAAAGGTCATCTAGAAATAAAGGTTGTCATTCCCATTTGGTGGCCGCTGCTCCACGGAGTTACTCGGTTCCCTACTCTGCTGGCTTCAACCTTTGAGATGCCACAGCGTAACTCAGGACATGATTAAAATGATGTGAAAATCATGCTGGGAAGAAGCAGAGAGATTCAGGGGGCATCTGGCCCCTGCTTGTGACGGCCCCTTAAAGCAAACCAAAAGTTACATCCCACGACTGTGAGAGAACCAGAAGCCCAGAGCATCCTGAAGCCAGGCGCTGTTATTTGTTTGGCTTTGCTGGTAGAGACTGAGGCATCTCGTGTGAGTAGGATTAAACACAGCTCCACAGTCGCATGGAGTTTGTTCATAGCCACAAAGGAAAACTTATAGACGGGTTAGCTTATGGTTTATTTTTGTTTAATGTCCAAAGTTAATGAGCATGCCTGCTGTAATGTGTGATATTTATTAAAGATTGACGAGCTCGAAGAGCAGTGCAGTGAGATAAACAAAGAGAAGGAGAAAAATACCCAATTGAAGCATAGGATTGAGGAGCTGGAATCAGAACTACGAGAGAAGGAGACGGTGAGTAGTGATGTGCTAAGCACTGTATCCTCTCGTCCCCTGGGCCTCATGGGGTGATCTCACCCAAGGACACAGCAGGTGGCCGTGAAGCATGTGACCCAGCTCTGGCAGCTGCCTGGTATCAGCACTGAGGTAGAGCCAGGAGTCACACCAAGGCACAGACGCTCCAGAGCACAGGCCTAACCGTTACACCCTGCCGCAGCTCACCGCAGTTATCATACAGTCACTCAGATCCAAGGCACAGACGCTCCAGAGCACAGGCCTAACCTAACCATTACACCCTGCCGCAGCTCACCGTAGTTAATACAGCCAGTCACTCCGATCCAATGCACAGATGCTCCAGAGCACAGGCCTGTTACACCCTGCTGCAGCTCACCGTAGTTATCATACATCCAGTCACTCAGACCCAGGAGCAAGCTGGACATTCTACAAAACACTTAGGAAATTTTTATAGATAATCTCTCATCAGAAGTTGAGTCCTCCTGTCAAATTAATACAGTTAGAGCCACTATTCATGCAGCCATTTATTTTCTGGGGGCAGGACAGCCAAGTATACAAACACAGGACCCCATGGGCAAGCTGCCAAACCTCTCAAAGCCTCAGTATCTTCATAAACAAAATCGGAACCCTAAGGATACCTGCCGTTTTCTGGTGGTGTATGGAGTCTCTGGTGGCGCAGTGGTTAAGCACTCGGCTGCTAACCAAAAGGTTGGCGGTTCAAACCCACCAGTCACTCTGCGGGAGAAGAATATGGCAATCTGCTTCCATAAAGAAGCAGAAACCCTTTGGGGTGGTTCTACTCTATCTTGTAGGGTTACTGTGAGTCAGAATCATCGATTTGACAGCAATGGGTTTGGGTTTTTTATTTGTTTGTTTTTATGGAGTCCGTGGGTGGTGCAAACAGTTAACATGCTTAGCTGCTTACCAAAAGGTTGGAGGTTCAAGTCCACCCAGAGGCACCTCAGAAGAAAGTACTGGTGATCTACTTCTAAAAAATCAGCCATTGGAAACTCTATGGAGCGCAGTTCTACCCTGATGCACATGAGGTCGCCATAAGTCGGAATCAACTTGACAGCCACTGGTTTTTTATGGACGTCATGAGCTCTTAGAATGAACTGATGTTTAAGTATTAACATCATCATGTATTACTTATGCATACAGTGCAGGTTCCAAAAACCATTGGTGGTTTTCAAGAATACATTGTGTCTGATTTGCCTTCATGTGCCTTTTCAAATTTCTGTCTCATGTAGGAGTTGAAAGATCTCCGAAAACAAAGTGAAATCATACCTCAGCTCATGTCAGAGTGTGAATATGTCTCTGAGAAATTAGAGGTAAGGTGGGAGCCGTCCATCTCAGCTCAGGCGGGAAGGCGTTTGTGGTGTTACTCATTCTCTCTGCTGCCTCTCACCGGCACACCTTGCATGTTAAAGAAGAATGCTTTTGTATTCATAAAAGCCAGCGGTAATTGCATGCCAGATGCCATCTGGGTCCCCAGGTGCAGATTCAGCAGCATTTGTCTTTTGGTTTTTCCATCTATAAAGACATCCTGTGTGTAGCAACATTGTAGGTGACTATTTCCCACCCACAGAAGCCCCACAGGACCACAGAAGCAGGAGGAGCCGGGGCTGCAGGGATGGACAGGGAACATAAGATCCACCTCTGCCACTCCTCAGCTGATGACCTTGGGCAATGACCTTGGGCAGGCCCTCCTTGCTGGCCTCAATGTCTGATCCATATAAGGAGTGTCTCCTAACTTCAGGTCTTTTGATGTACACAAGAAGCAGTTTACTCAGGTACACAACCCCAGTGTTAGCTGCTGGTTTATGAGCACATGTTCAGAAAGAATCTCCTTTTATACCCGCAGAAGAAAGCATTTTGGAAGCTCATACTTGAGAGGAAGAGTACAAGGCTTAAGTCTCCTTTAAGGACGCACAGCTGTCTCATCTTCCACAGTCGTCAGATTCACCCAGAGGGGCCTGCATTGGCTGAGCAGGGGCCCAGCTCTGTAGAGCATCTCCATGGTAACAGCATCTGGGTGCACAGGCGGCTGTCCCCAGGTCACTGTCAGCCAGCCCTCCCTCACTGAGGCCCAGAGGCTGGCGAGGGGCTGAGGAGGCTTCCCATCTATTCTCAGTTTCTCTCTCTCAAAATGAAAGGGGGCCTCTGCTGACCACCTTGGACCTAGGGCTGAAACCCCTCTCACTGGGATTTCAGTGTGAATTAGAACCAGGCTCCCTCAGGAAGGGTCTCGAGTTCACCATTCTGTGTCGGGACTTGGTTTTTCAGGCCAGGTGTTGGTTAGCACTTCTGTCAGAAAACAAATGGGAAGGAAGGGGCACACAGAAATGTCTGATGCTTCCTTTTTTTTAAATTGTAGTAAAATTTAGAAAGAGCAATGGTTAAGCACTCAGCTGCTAATCGAAAGTTTGGTGGTTCGAACCCACCAGCCACTCCATGGGAGAAAGATGTGGCAGTCTACGCCTGTAAAGATTATAGCCTAGAAAACCCTATGGGGCAGTTCTACTCTGTCCTGTAGGGTTGCTATGAGTCAAAATTGACTCAACGGCACCTAACAACAACAGTAAAATATATGAGACATAAAATTTACCATTTTAACTATTTTTAAGTGTACAATTCAGTGGTAATAATTATATTCCCAGTGTTGTGCAACCGTCACCACTATTTGTTCCCCAAACGTTTTCATCACCCCAGACAGAAACTCTGGACCCATTTTGCAGTATCCCCATCGCTGCTTCCTTTCTGAGCTTAGTGGTCACAACCCTGTGTGTTGGGGGATTCACAGCATTGCTAGGGGTTTCAGACCCCCTCGGAGGCACACAGGTCTTGTGGAGAATGGACGGTTTGGCTAGAGCAGGTCTCAGTGGACACATGGCCCCAGTCACTCTGTTTTCTGGATCCTTCTCCTTTTATTTTACTTCAGGCGGCAGAGAGGGACAATCAAAACCTGGAAGACAAAGTGCGGTGTCTAAAGACGGACATTGAGGAGAGTAAATACCGACAGCGCCACCTGAAGGTGGAGTTGAAGAACTTCCTAGAGGTGCTGGACGGGAAGATCGACGACCTCCACGACTTCCGCCGAGGCCTCTCCAAGCTGAGCTCGGACAACTAGGACTGGGGCACGGCCAAGCGTTAGCCCCGTGTGTGTGAGACAAAATAGCATTAGGACGTTCTCCTGTTTGCATTGCTTCTGTAAATGCAGGCGCAGTTTGTCGTGTTTCCAAACCAGTTGTGCCGTCCACTCAACTCCTCAGATTAGAAATCTCCTCTCGCTTCTCTGGCCTTGTGAGGTTGTGGACAACTGGAAGATTCTGACTCAGGAATCCAGAACTAGGTCTACCTTAAACGCCTATGTAGTTAGGGCAGGGACATTTATATCTTTTTTAAGGGCTGTTGCAACCATATGAACTGAAAAAAAAAAAAAGTATTTTCTAATCCAAATACGAATATCCTTTACACCAGGCTGTTTTGCTCCTTTTATTGACTGGCATTCAGAGTTTTGAATGTCCACTAGGCCCCGATCCATGGGGCATGAAGGTAACAGTTCCTTCTCAGTAAATATTGATATGCTTTAAAAGAACCACTTAGTGTAGAGACTTGTCCAGAAAAAGAAAGCAAGTTTCTGGTGGGTGCGTTTTCTGGCACGGGAATCACCTGCACTCACCAATACCCCTCCCACCCAGTTTGTACGGTTGCGACAACGTTCCTTTTCTTGGTTTTTGTTTCTGAGCAGATGGCTGTGCTGTGGGAACAGCATGCAAGGAGGGTGCCTAGCACAGTGTCTGACACAAGTAGGTGCTTAATAAATACTTGTTCAATAAAACATACAAACAGAATTTAGTGTGTTAATCAAACCCCACAGCAGAGTTCATCCCTGTGAATGGTACACCATCTTTACTGTGCTGGGTAGTTACCAGCATAAATGCGACTAACTGTGTGGCCAAACCCAAGGATTGCCTCAGCGGCCATGGGGCAGGAAGGGTGGCAGTGGAAGAAACAGGAGCTGGTCTCAGCCCCCAGAGTCCAGCCCATGGGGCAGTGCCTCTGGGTGTGTCTGATATTGGGACCGCCCTTCTATGGCCTGGGGATTCCAGGACCCCTGGCTATCCATGGTATAGGGGCTGCCCAGGGCGTGGGATCCTACGTTGGTTTGAATAGTTGAAGCCTATGAAATCACACAGGCCCATGAGGAAGAGAGAGTCAGGTCAACTGGCTGAGACTTGGCCTTAGAACAGAGGAGTTCTGCCCAGGTCTGCCTCTGCCCTTCCCAGTGCCTGCTGAAGAAGGGACCGGAGCCATAACCCTCTCCGCCTCCCTTACAGAGTGTCTGAGGGCACTGTTGGCATCCTCTGTTGGGAGCAGCTGGCCCATGCATGGCGAGAATTTTCACAGCCCTGGCCCCACACAATTCTAAATACCTTCTGGGGGCTTTGAGAACCATCTAAAAGAACTTTCTCCTCTAGATAATGTTCTCCAGTGGTTAGAATTTCTTTTGCTGGCTTTGGATTAGTAGGCACAGAGCCTGAGAAGAGGGCTAGGGATACACCTGGATGTGACCTGGGCCCCAAGGTGAGTCTTTGGTCCCATGGCTCTACTTCACCTGGCTGAGACCCTCTCTCTGAGCAGGGAGGTCTTGTTTGGGATGGGAAAGGAGGGAAGGCTTTTGATCTGGAGCACTAAGGCACTTTAGGGGAGACCCCACAGGAGGTGTGGGGCCCCATGGGGGCTTTAGTTGAGTTCACTGGGCTCTTGGGGAGTCCAGAAAAGGGAGAGAGGAGGGAGAGGAGCAGACAGGAAATGGAAAGTGTGGTCAGCCCTCTTGGTGATTGGGGTAGGATGGAGTTGGCCCTGCCCTTTCCCCAGAGTTTCAGATAGCTCTCATGACAATTGGCAATTGGTAGCAGCTCCCTCCTGTCTGTATCAGGACCCTGGAGAGCTGGGCTGGCAGTGGGTTGGCCACCACCACTGTCTAGTAGGTGACTGACTGGTGCATGTTCAGGTGGCACATTCATAGAATAGGGTCCTTTGCTAACGCCTTTTGTGCATTCCAGTAGCAGCAACTTAGGGAAGAACACATGATAAGTGGTGGAGCCATTGCCATGTGTCCCTGGCTACTGTGTCCCTCTGCAGTTGAGACTCATGGTCCGGCCTTACCAATATTGAAGAGTTTGGCAAGCACCTTGTAAGTAGTAGGCGAGGAATGTAGACAGATTCCCCTTACTATATGGGCTCATCTATCTCTAAATCTGTTGCAGTCTAGGAGCGAAAAGCAGTAGGGACTCCTTTAAAGGGGAAGGTAAGTTGGCTTTGGAGTCCCTGGGAGGTGCAGACGGTTTACATGCCAGCTGCTAAGTGAAAGGTTGGAGGTTCGACTTCACCCAGAGGTGCCTTGGAAGAAAGACCTGGTGATCTACTTCTGAAAAATCAGCCATTGAAAACTCTGTGGAGCACAGTTCTACTCTGACACACATGGGGTCACCATGAGTCAGAATCACCTTGATGGCAGCTGGTTTTTAATTTAGGTTCATCAGTGACAGCACAACAACTTTCAGAAAACACTGGACTTTCCATTGTTTCTGCTTTTCTGTAAAGACTTTACTGTTTCTTCATCTACTTAAAAAAATAAAAAATAGTGGCCTGGGAACAACCTAGTGGAGGTTTACGGTCAGTCAGGAGACCAGCTGTGTCTGGTAGCCTCTGGTGCTGTGAAGGGTGAATTTGATAAAAAGAAAATGACCCCTGAATTCATCCTGGTGTTCATTTGAGCTGGTTTAGCATGCCCCCCTTATTGTGAAGTCCAGCCACAGTCTCAACAGTGATGTCCTCTGGTTGTCATTGTCTTAGGCCAAATGCAGGCAGGGCAAAACCTTTCCACTTGTGAACATCAAGCCACGTTGAGCTGCCCGGGAGACTTAGAGCTTAGGACGTTGCATTTTTGGTTTCTGAATAGTGTCTCCTGATTTTGATCCCCTTCAAGACTAGCTGCTTGTTCCTTGATCATCTTGCTTTCTGCATCTGTGAAACCTGGGGCCTGAAAGAAGCAAAGCAAAACTTAGAACCCTTTAACCAGGATGATCTTTAAAAATAACTGTTTTCATTCCAGTAAAGACCCACTGGGTACACTTAAAAGTTGAGAGTGGTGAATAGAGATGAAGTCGTCCTAGTGCCCAGGGCATGTAGAATCGCCAGAGTGACAAGTGAGGACAGTGTGGTCAGGCCTAGATGGAGAAGAGCACCAGCGACCCTACAGACCTTGTGTGGTATATCATTTTCACACTCTCCTACAGGCCATCACTTTCGACCTTCATTTGATGGGAGAATTGGGCAGATACCATAACTTCATTTCTCAGACAGGAAGTGGAGACAGAAGAAGGGTAAGTGGCATGCCCAGGGTCCCCCAGTTAGTCAGCAGCGACATGAGCCCTGGTCCAGGTCTCCCGAACCTTGGTCCATTGTCTTTCTATGAGCTATGTTGCTGTCCTCCCCTTGGTGACCCTTGGATGGCAAGAAAAAAAAACCTGATAAGAGCATATTGCAATTACATTATTTTAGCATATGTCCACAGCAAACGACAGTTTATAGATGAGCAAATCAGAATTATACCTACATTCATTACAAAGAGTAAGTTCCACTTGTGAAAGATTCTGCATTTCAGAGCTCTTTCCAGGAGAGTGGTGGTTAAAATGTCTGAGCTCTGGAAGGCGAGTTCTATGGAAACCATGCTCTTGTTGAGTCCTTTGTCGATGGCTTTAGTGGAGGCAGAGCAGTTGTTTCGAAACAAATGGGACGTCCTGAGATGGCAGAGATGAACATGGTTCTGGCTGAGGATTGCCTGTCCACTTCCCACCTATAACCCCTCCCAGAGGTGAGCCAGTACTGAGGGGAGCAGGCTATCCCAGTGGTCAGAGCAGATTGAATGGAATTTGACCAACACCCAGGAGGACTGGGTCTCCAACCTTTTGGATTTTTCTGTAGTCTAAGGCCAGCCCAGACTCCAGGCCTACTGCTTTGGGGTATGTGTGTACGTGTGTGGTAAATCTATTGTGTCCATTTATTTAATAAATATGTTTGAGCACCTCCACTTAGAAGATGCACAGTTACTGTAGTAAGTGATGTGAGTGATGGAATAGTTCCAGACTGTGGTTCTGGTTAGTTGAGCATTCTGGTTACTCTGTGTTCAGAGTTTCACTAGAGCCAAGTGTAAATGAAAATGTCCACATTATTATTGGGAGACCAAAAGGCCTGTCGGTTTCATCTTGTTGTGTAAATGAAAAGCTAGAGCATGTATAGTTAATGTGCTGTCCAGAACCGCCGTTAATCTGCCCATTTTTAAAGGACTCCTTTTCTGGAGACTTCTGTATGAAACCAGGGGTGACTTTGGATAACAGCCAATCATAAGGTGTGCCAAGGACCTCACCTGTGGCCAGGTGCACCCAGGAAGGAAGGAAGGCAGGGAAGGAGGGAGGGAGGAAGGAAGGAAGGTGCCCTGAGGTGATGAAGTGTAGGCACTCTAAAGAGAATACCCTTTAAGAGGGAGCCAGCCATCGCTCTTTGTTAACAGTTAAAAGAGGGTTGTTTGTGCTGTTCATCCCTCTAGAAGTTACAATTCTTTTATTCACTTGACATTTCACTGGATTTTGAAGCACTGACAATTTAAACTAGAAGCTTGCAAATCCATGTCCATAAATATTTTTAAATGATATGCATGGTTTAAAGGGGTTTCTGAGTACCTGGTTTTCCCAAAGAAATATGGTATATTCTGGGGGTGGTGGGGGTGAGGGCATGGAGGGGGAAATCCTGTAATAGAAGTGTGTGTTATTTACATGTCTTTTCCATACACCCATCTCAAGAATGTAGGCTTTCTAGTTCCTCTTTCAACACTAGCCAGCCAAGAAGGGGACGTTTGGTAAGAATTTTGAGCTGGATGAAATGTTCTGATGAATTTAGGGTTGTGTGTGTGTGTGTGTGTGTGTGTGTGTGTGTGTGTGTGTGTGTTGGAGAAGGAGGAGGAAGCAGCAAGAGGAAGCAGGAGAAACAAGGGACAATTTTCAATTAAAAAAACTATGTATACCTAAGAGGAGTCTTTATTTTAATATTTCTGATGGTGATGTTATACGTTCTGGAATCCATTTATGGAAAGAAGAGTTTCTGGATCTTTTGTTTTTAGTGGAATTGTACAGTGCCTGCTCTCTCTGATGAGTGGGGAGCCCTGCTGGAGAGTGGTCCCCCAGTCACACAGATCCCCAGTCCACCCAGCAGTAGCGGCAAGAAACCATGGTGGAGGTTAAACTTGTTATAAATACATTTTGGCAGACGGTTGACAGGACTGATTGTATGCAGCTGTGGGGAAGGTGTTATTGTTTTTACCTGTTGTACCATTTTTAGTATAAAGTCCTGACATTAGATAAATTGCTGTAATAGTGTCTTATGATATGACAGGCAGGAAGATGTTTCTTGCACCAGATTTGAGAGTTTAATGATAAGAATGGGTAGACAAGTGAACTCTGCCAAGAATCCTTTCTTTTTTCTTTTTTAATTTTTTTGCTACATAAATAATATATAATTTTTTTTTAAAGAAACTACAGATGAGTGAAAAGAAAAACAAAATCACCTGTTTTTACACTATCAATAATAACCACTGTTAACATTTTGTTTGGTATATTATCTTTCCTGATTTTTTTCTATTTATGTTACATTATATTTTTTTCCATGAAATAGAATCATATTATACATACTGTTTTATAACTTAAGTCCTTTTCCCTCTTAACACAATATTCTGAATATATTTCTTTTATCAGTAAATATGTAATTATACCTATATAGGTTG